GACATAAATTAGATAATTTAAATGTGACTGAAGTCGGAGACGTGAAAGATTTCAGCCCTCATGCTGCGATAATGGTAAAGCTTTCCGTGTTGAATGCTTGGGCTGAATTGCAAGTGGCCAGCACCAAACAGGCGTACTTGGTTCAGGTCGTTCAACCGTATCCTTTTTATTTATGACTTTCGACTTGATTTACGGACACCTTTAAATTCTTTGACTCTATCATCAAATAGAAACTTGTCTTTACTGTGCCCTCTTTGGGTATCGGCATTAAAAGAATATGCTCGGGTGCAGACAGAGACAGAAATTTCTAATGCACAAGCTAATTTAGTGGGAACCAGAGCATTTAAGAATGAGCGAACTGAAGTTTTTGATTCTATGTACAGTGGCTTGACGAGAGAAGTTATTCTTCCGGTATTTACTTTTTCTTTTACCATCAGATTTTTATATGGTCCAAACAATCTAATTATGAGGATAAAATCTCTTTTTTTTTTTTATAAGTATTATAACAAATCTTGGTTAACTATTCTTGAAGCCGTGGCGAGTTTGGTTCAAAGTGGAAATAATCACATAATATTATCTTTGAATGGAAACAATTACGAATCAAAAATTCCAGTTAAACCATCAGAAGACATAACGGAAGATGCCTTGAATGATTTCCAGAACTTTGAGGAACCTGGAGATGGTGATGGCGATGATTTTACTGGAGAATTTTCATCTTTCACCGAAGGGACAAATTACGAAAAAGAACCCGCCAAGTATTTTTTCATCCTATTTGGACTTTGCGTTGAAGCGTTATCCAATACATTCGAAGGAGGTAGTCGCATTAGCGATGTAGAAAATGATGCAGAAAATCAAAAGGTTGTGATAATCTGTATTAACGCGCTGAAAGCCTTTCTGAGGCCAATTGTTGCCGGGAAAATTTTTCTGGAAAAGTCTGTATTTATTGAATTGATAAATTTATTTGATCGGTTGGTGCTCACCGAAGGATTCCAAGTACAGCTCGACATTATTCAAATAATAAAAAATATTATTCAAAATTATGGTTCGATATATATATGCGAAGAAGCACGTGAATCAACGTATGAAGACACCATAACTATACTCTTTTCTTGGGAAAGGCATGGATAACCTAACTTCACTTTCTATTCGTATTTAACAGAACGAGGAGAAATGAAAGCGATAACCTCATCGATTATTCTGACAATGAAAAAAATGAAACGATACTCTTTTACGTAGTAAGACTTTTGGTTAACATATTTTTCCAAAAAATTCCTTCTCTTTCCGA